CCGGGCTCCTGGCTCCAACCCAACAGACCCCTCCCCTTCTTAAAGGGGGGGAGAACCCAGGTGTCCTGGTGCCCCCATGAGCAGCGCCCCTGCCTGCACCAGGTCCACGGTGCCCGGGCCTACCTGGGGAGGGTGCAGAGGGGCCTTGCGCAGTCTGCGAGGCTGTGGGCGTTGCATTCTCGTTCTGGGCCTGAGGGAGACAGGGAGGAGATGTCTCAGCCCCCCTGGGCACCAGCGTCGTGCCGCAGGGAGCCTGGACGGTCCCCGCCCCCTGCCTGCCCCGGCCCCTGGCACTCACAGCTTTGCTCTGGGACTGCTGTGCCACGTACTCGGGGTTCGGTTCGCTGAAGTTTGGCACCTCGGAATAAACCATGCAGAACCTGGGGGAGAAGAGGCGGGAACGATGCTGGGGTTTGTAGCCACACCAGGTGCCAGCCAGGCTCCACCCCACCACCCGTCCTGCAGAACAGGTGGGGAAACTGAGACACAGGCAGCAGCTGCCCCGACTTGGACCTGGGGGTTCACTCTGTGTGGTCCACTGTTCCTCCCAGGACAGGGCGCAGAAAGAACCCAGGCGTTTGGGCCCCCTGCCCCTCTGCTCTCACCCCCACAGACCATCTGGGCCATTCTTACTCGCCGATCTTCTGCAGGTCTCCGCCGCGCCCCGTGTACAGCGTCAGGCAGCCCTTGAAAACCGACGCATACCTGGCAGAGAGAGGGGCCAGGGTCAGCCCCATGCCCCCCAAAAACAGCTGCCAGAGCCTCCCCCGCCCCTGGGACCCATACCCCTTGGTGAGGCGAATGATGTCCCCCGGCTGAATGAGGTTCCCCACATCATCCCACACCGAGATGTTGATGCTGCCAGTCTTGTCGGCCACTTTGCATGTCCGCACCTCGTGCCCGTCCTTTGTTTTCGTCACACGGCCTGGGGGGGGCGGCACAGCGGTGAGTCACCAGGTAGGGGGGGATCCCCAGGTTTCTCCCTGCCCTGGGGCGCTGGCACCCACCTGTCTCTAGCACAATGAAGATTAGGTTCAGGTTCTTCAAGCCAGGTTTAATGTCCTTCACAAAGGTTTCGGATGTCATCCTCGGGGACTCGGGCTCCCGCGCCGTTACCTGGGCACCAACCACACGCGCGGAGCCGGCGGCAGCCATTAGGACAGCGGGGCAGGGAGCGGCGCCTGCACAGTGCCCTGGGAGGGCTCCGACACGGGACGGCAGAGTCCGGGTGACCGCAGGGCACGGACGTGCTCGGCCTGGGTGGCGTTTGGTACCCGCACCCACCGGGTTCCGATCCCGTCGGGAACCCGCGCCCGTCCTTCTGCTCCAATTGCAACCCAAATATCAAGGCCCTGCCAGGGACAGGGGTAGAGAATCAACCCCCCCCCACCCCTTCCCCTATGCAGGCTGCAAACCCCCTTTGCACCCCAGCAAGAGAAGTGCAACATAGAGACAGGCACAGATATACTGGGGGGGGGGGGGGAAGGGAGGTGTGTGTGTGTGCATAGGTATGCCTGTGTATATATGTGTGTACACAAATAAAATATATGCATATATATATGTACATATATACATATGCATAGGTACACCTGGTCAGACATATACATGCATGCATGTATGCAGACAAGGTTCTTTGGGTAGATGCGACATCTTTTATTCGACCAACTAAATAGTGAAAAAAATTGTTTTCTGCAAGCTTCCGGGCACAAACGCCCTTTTTCAGGTGCAGGGACAGCATATACGGACCTGCCTATACACACAAGTGCATGCACGTATACACATATGCATGCATGCACGTATGCACAAGCACATACATGCATGTAGCAATATGCATAAGCATGTGTATTTATGCATGTATGCAAATGTGTACGTATATGCATATGTGTGCACATGCATGTGTATGTCTAAATGCATATGAACATACATGCATGCACATATACATGTAAATATCTCTGCACGTGCATATGTGGCATGTGCAGGCATGTATATGCTTAAATACACGTGCATGTACATATGCATGCATACAGAAGTATGCATACACATGCATGTATACGTATGTGCACACATGCACGGACAGATGTGCGCGCGCACACACACTGATATAAATAAGCGCACACCCGTGCACACGGAGGCAGATCTAGATGTTTGCAGCACTCCCCCCACAGGCCGGGGGGCGTGGAGGAGATGCCCGGGAGGGGAAGCCCCCCGCCCCCCCCATCACAGGGAGCCCCAGGGCTGCCGGGCCGCCCCGCCCGGGCCGATCCCCCCCTCCCGAAGCCCGGGGAGAGGGGCGGGGGCCCGCGCGGCGGCTACACTGACCGGATGGAACGCTGCGGCGCGGACATTCCAGGAAGTATGCAGCGCGGGGCGGCAGCCAATCG